GTGTTTATGTTAGATTTCGTTATCTCCAACATTGTTCAACGTACTGTTTTATGAGAAAATCCCTGAAGTGGTGGCGCAAATTATTTTTCCGGGGACTGGAAATTTGTTTAATCAATTCGTATATTTTCTACAAACATGTAAAAAGGCAGAGAAACTAACAGCCAGTTACACATTTGAACTTTCGCAAAATTTTGATCAACAGATTGAGAGGAGATTTTCGTCAACCACGAGATAGATCTTCAAGTTCGACGTCCAACTCTGACGAAATTCGTCAAAACGGGAAACTGCATGTAATTGTTATTGGCACAAAGAAATATTGCAAAGTTTGTTCCAGTCGAAACAAACCAAAGGGAAGACATGAGACGACCTATTTCTGTGATACATGTCCAGATAAACCAAGAATGCATTTTGGTCAATGTTTTATAAACTATCACATCGAACGAAACTACGAATCATAATTTTTGTAAAATTATATTCATAAAAGTGTGAATATAGATAAACTAACGAAATATAACGTTTTTGTCAGATAATTTATATGTAAGATCACTTTATTGTACCATATAAGACACTCGACATATTTGCAAAAATCGCCTCGTCCTGCTACCTGACTCTGCCGAAAAAGTCGTCGTCCGCTAAGGGTTAATCCTCCAAGAATCAACATTGACGGTCATATCGTAACATTGTGATCGACAGTCGATTCCACCAACAGTATGAACATTCAGCTTTCATCTGATTTCAGACTAGCGAGCGCACTTCAAATTGTGTTTCGGCAATGTCCTCTCCCTTCGACTAAATTGACAAGAACATGGTACATTTCGCGAGCCATTTTGACAAACGAAACCGTGTCAAAGTGACGTGATCCACAATTCTCGGAAACACAGATAAATCACCGACGGACAGGTCGAACAATCAAAAATGAGTTGCGATTTGCTGCCGGAATGGTTGAACCTTATCCTGGACGACGTGGAATCTACCCTGTGTCTGCCGATTCTAATCGTCATGCTCCTCTGCACCGCTCAATTCATAGTGAATCACACGATGGACATAGGGTGCACGTTCTATCAATCTATAAAGCAGGATTCGGACGAGGATGAAGAGAAGGGCGAAGATTTAATTACGAAATTCAAAGGTCCGTCGAGCGCATTTTTCGTCTGCTCTTGCAGCGAACCCTTACTCGAGCTCCTCTCTTACTCTGTATCAGAATTTCTTTCAAATCTGACACGCATTTAACAGGGATCCTAGCTAACTGGGGTATCGGTCAACCGCAAACGAACATCGCCTACGACGAAAGCTCTGCGGCCCAGCTGAACAGACAAAATTCCCAAGACGAGGACTGGGACTACTGCGAAGAGGACGACGAATAATCACAACTGTCCGTATTGTCCTGAATCATCAACGTCGCTTCTGTATCGTCTCAAGTCGCGATTAAGTCGCCAACTTTGCAGCGATTGGCCAGCGAACGTCTTACCTTAGCTCCTCCGTGCAGCTTCTTCCAGGAACATTCGCACATTCCGCCACCGATCTTCAGAGGTTCCCGACGAAAACTTGTAAATTTGTAAATTTGACACGTTGCGAAACCGAACCAGTCGAAACAGGAAACGATACGTTCTTCGTTGAACTCGTCGACGGTCGGTTCGATGCAAGAAAAGATGAGCCAAGTAAAGGAAACAGGATGTAAACAATTTATTCGTCATTCGCAGTGCAAAAAGGGAGAGAAACGTTCGTTAAATCGATTGGTCGTTCGATGGTGCACGCCCCGAGGGGCGTTCCCGGCGCGTGGGCGTGGCCTCGAACAGCCAATCACCGTTACCGGCCGCACGTCCCGGGGGTCTCACGGTCGAAAGAAGGAAATCCATGGTGGTCGTTCGGTTTTACTTCGTCTGCTTTAATGAAAATCCATTTTTATCGAGAAAGAGACACGTATGTATATATAAACAGCGTATTTGAACACTCGTTGAGCCTCGATCCAGCCTAGCGATCGAACGATTCTGCTTTCACGTGGACTGAGGTCGACTGGACTTGGTCCGTGTTACGATACCGGAAGAAAGAAAAAAGGAAACAAAGAAAAGAAAAAAGGAAACAACGTTCCGTTCGATGGTTCGTGAAAGTTCACCGTCGAAACCACATCCTCCGTGCCTCGCGCATACATAGCACGGCTCGATCGGTCCGTATTAAAATTAAGCGATTCCCGACGCGTCGGTTAAACGAGTTTCCTTAAACGAGTTATCCTAGGACAGACCGTTCTCGTAGCTGCCTGATCGTCCGTTCTTCTAAACTTTACGATATCTGTCTTTTTTTTTGTAACAATATTAAGTGAACCGCCTGTGGGCCGCGGTTTAAGGCTGTGTCTTTCTTGTCCTCCTACACCGCCTCTTTCCGCGCTCAACATTACCGAGAAACTCAAATCTCCGAACGAAACATAAGCGAAGCCCCGAGCTAACCGCGAGACGTCCAATCGCGACCCGTCTCGCGAGTAGAACGTTCAGGGGCGGGGGAAAGTGGGCGGAGCACAGAACAAGTGGGCGGAGCGACTCCGAGCAGATTTTCACCGCGAGGCTGGCGCTGACTGAACGAAATCGCGCTGTCGAATCGAATTCGAAGGAAAGAAACGGAAATTACAGCAACCAATCGGGTGAAAATGTTTTCTTCTTTTTTACATGAAACGCACTTCTCGGCAGAATAAATGATTGCGCGGAGAACCGTTTTCGATGGTTCGCTCTCGTGAAAACATGAAAATTCTCAGCAGTCGTTTCGCAACCGAATTATCGAGTTTTGTCCAGCCAGCGCGCGCAGCTCGAAACTCCGCGTGAAAAACTGATCCCTGCGGAAGAGGAGGAGGCGGCAATATAGTTCCATAGTCCGATAGTTCGCAGTGGTGTTCCGTACAAAGTAAGTTCCCCGCCAGCGAATTCGCAGTCCCGGCTGGCACTTGTGTAACCTAGCAACGATAATAGTAAGAAGAAGAGTATCAGCAGCGATAAGAGAGTATTGATTAGTGTTACAGTAACGGTCGTTATAATTTAAACGGTAGAAATCTAGCGTCTTTCTTTCTGCCGGGCACCGGGAACTCGTGGAGCTTGACGCGCCCCCGCCGGCCTCTAATTTCTTACAGAGATTCTGTACACCGGTAGCATCGTGTCGACTTCCTCCTGGCTATTCCCCTGTTCCAGAAAGCACACCTTGTCTCCGTGTTCCTTCATATTAACTATCGTCCCTCGTCCTTCTTTTTCTTCGATGCACACCGTCGTCCTCGGTCAGTTCCCGACGGACGACGGCGTTCCGCACACAACAAATTCTCGCTGGCTCGTCACTGTTCTCACACTGGTTCAGTTTCGCCACCTTGTGCGTGGGATCGAGGACAGTTCACACTTTCGGGACGGCTCCGACAACTCGAACTGGCATACAGAAACAAGTAAATGACGCCGCTCTCGACCTCGCCGAGCCCTTAAGCGGGTCTCGCAGATCGATCTCGCGGAATTCTTCTCGAGATCAACGATCGCAGCTGCCGGACTGAAACTTGGCATCTTCACGTTCGAAGTAACAGCGTGAATTTTGTCGAGACGTTTCCTCGAGAACCGAGGGCGTTGTTGACGAGCGCGAGGCTACTTCGAATATCTCATCCGGCATTCGATCTTCTTCCGAAAAGATTATTCCGTCCCGAAAGTTTTCAGGGTTGGTCTCCCCGGTCACGTCCTCGGCACGGCTGCTCAACGGCTGCGTCCGTGCAGGTCCATCCTCTTCAGATCCGCCCATATTCGATAGTTGCAGCGTCACATGAAAACGTTGTCCAGGCCGGAGACGTTCTTCCTGGTGGGGGTGGAGGTGACGCCCTCGTCCTCGAAGGTGACCATCTTCTCGCGGCTCCTGGTCGCAGTCCCGGTGCACTCCAGCAACCGGGACTGGTTCGACGGATTAGCGACGGAGGTCAACGGGGGCGTGACGGCCGCGGAGGGTCGCAGCACCGACGAGGGCGGCGGGGGCGGGACCGCCATGTCGGTGACCGCCGCCGCGGCCAGGTTGAACTCGCTGACGCTCCTCGGCACGAAGTATTCGAAGTGCAGCGAGCTCTCCTGCTGGCGGTGCTGGTGATGCTGGTGATGATACTGCGTCGGCGACAGGCAGCTCCGTCTCAACGATTGGGCACGCTGGAACTGCTGCACCGACGAGTTCCTCGTGTCCGAGATGACGGACTTCTTCCGTGGCAGAGAATGGTGGCCGGGCGACGGTTTTATGGCAGTGTTGGATGCATGGGCCAGGAGCTTCCCGTCACCGGGACTCCTGGCCTGATGCTGTCAGGATGCTGGCACCATGGACATGGCGATTGCTTCCTCCTCTTGCTCGGACAGCCGCGAGTCACTGGTGCCGCCGCCGTCGTCGAGGTCTCCCTTGAGCCCAGGACCGGAACCTGCAACGAGAAAGCCACGCGTTCAGGCACACCGCAAGCTTGCAGGGCTTTAGTCGCGTGGTTATATGCTAGCTGTTTTTATAACAGAAGGGTCTTGCGGAGTGGTCAAGATGCTCCATCGAAATCCCCGACGCGATTTTGATTAGAACCGCTCTAATATTCGTTCGAACGCAATGGGTGACGAGGGTGAACGTTTTGAGCCCTGCGCTGGCTGATGATCTCTTTTTTTGATTTTGCTGCCTGCTAACAAGGAGAGGTCCCCAGGCGTGACACTCGACATTCGATGAGATTTTGCGCGGTGGTAGAGCTTGCAAAATTGAATCTAACGATACCCGGTGTTCGGTGCAGACAGCTTATAATCTTTGAGATATTTAATGTTAAATTTGTTAGTGACGAAGCCAGAAATAAAATAATAATAAATAAATGTATAATGTAATATAATATAAATATAGTATAAGTATAATATAAGTATAATATAAATACAATATAAATATAATATAAATATAATATAAATATAATATAAATATAATATAAATATAATATAAATATAATATGAATATAATACAAATATAATATAAATACAATATAAATATAATATAAGTATAATATAAATTCAATATAAATATAATATAAATACAATAGAAGTATAATATAAATACAGTATAAATACAATATAAATACAATATAAATATAATATAAATATAATATAAATATAATATAAATATAATACAAATACAATATAAATATAATATAAATATAATATAAATATAATGTAAATATAATGTAAATATGATATAAATACAATATAAATATAATATAAATATAATAAAATATGATATTAACAATGAGTTATAATATATAATATTATATAATATATGTATAGATAGACAATATATAAATAATAAGTAATAAATAAATAAGCCGCTGCGCAGCGTTTTGTTCAAGTATTTCAGAGAAGTGCTCGCAAGTGATGAGAGAAGAGAGGGAACATTAGAAACGGGAGCGAGCGAGTCTTCTCATAGGTTCTTCCCCCGTCACTCCTCGACTCGTGAGCACTTCTCTGACATCCCCGCATCCCCACCCCAGCGCACGGTGCCACAGCGTAACTTATCTTTCTGGTCTTGTTACCGACAACTTCGACATTAAATATCTCGAAAACCATAAGCCGTCTGCACCGAAAACCGCTTATCATTAGATTCAGTTTCACGAGCTGTACCACTGTGCGAAATCTCATCGAAAAGCGAGTGTCACACCTGGGGACCTCTCCTTGTAAGATCCGCAGTCCATCCATAAATATTCGAAATCTTGTCAGAAAGCGCGCTATGGCAGCGTCACCATTGTTCTGGCAACGCCACCACGGCCAGGGCTAACTTTTTGAACGGGCTAAAGCGGAACCGGGGGATTTCTCGGCCGGAATGATCTAGCGGTTCCCCGTCGAATGCCTGCATCAGGGATACCTGTACCACCGATAGGTCCGACCACCACCCCGGACGACATGCCGCAGGTTCTACTGAGGACCCTGACCACGCGTACCACCTCCTCCTGGACGAGGTTGAAGCACATGGCGATCAGGCCCATCCCGGCGAGTATGTAGAGCGAGCAGGCGCACAAGCTGAGCTCCTCCAAGGTCGCAGTCGCCGCGTTTCTGCCGACCGGCATCAGGTCACCGAACCCGATCGTTCCCAGGCTGGTGAAGCAGAAGTAACCGCTTTCTAGGAGGCTCCAGCCCTCCAGCCGATTGAACATTATCGCCCCGCCGCATATGTAGATCAGCATGATCACCAGGCATAGGCTTATCGGTATCCTGACGGGGTTCGCCTCGACCATGTAGCCCGGCGACGACGTCGTCGACAGGGACGACGAGCACGGGTGGAAGTGCCGTTTACCGTTTCCGGATGACACGTCCTGCAACCACCAACTGCTCAGTGACACGCGACTACGAGGATCATTGGTCGAACGTTCAGTGTCGTTTGTCCATCATCGGGCAAACTGTACAAATCCTTTTCTGACTGACCCAGGGAACCCCGGTGTCTGATGGACGCCGATTTTTGTGAAACTTCGCCGAAGAAGACTGTTCTTGATTTTGTGGGAAAAATCAACCCTTCTATACGAAACGGCTGTTCTATGGAAGTGCTTATAAATCGCAGACGCGAC